GCCGGGTAATTAATACTTGGGCTGATATAATTAATCGTGCTAACCTAGGTATGGAAGTTATGCATGAACGTAATGCTCACAACTTCCCTCTAGACCTAGCTGCTATCCAAGTTATAGCTACAAATGGCTAGAGACTTTGTCTCTTAGTATATAGATAGGGAATCTATTTAAAATAGAATAAAGGAGCAATTCCGCCTTCTTGTCTAGAACAAGAAAGTGGTTATTGCTCCTTTATTGATTCCTTTTTGAAAAGAACATATTTTAGTTGGGGGCGGATGTAGCCAAGTGGATTAAGGCGGTGGATTGTGAATCCACTATGCGCGGGTTCAATTCCCGTCGTTCGCCCATCACTCTAATTTCCGTTTCGATAAATTCTATAAATGGGTAAAAGATATGAGTGAAAGTAAATAACATGCCGCTATGGTGAAATTGGTAGACACGCTGCTCTTAGGAAGCAGTGCTAGCGCATCTCGGTTCGAGTCCGAGTAGCGGCATAAAAAATAAGAGTAATCTTTTGTTCTTTTTCATTTTTTTTCTTATCTAATTCAGAGTTAAAATCTTATTTTATTTTTTTTAATAATTTTTATGATAGTTTCAACCTTAGAACATATACTAAGTAATATTTCACTTTCAATAATACTCGTTTCAATTTTAATTAAAATTTATTTGAGAATCTTTTTCGTCGATGAAAACATAAAACTTTCTAATTCATCAGAAAAGTGCATTTTCATAACTTTTTTATGTATAACAGGATTATTAGCTACTCATTGGATTTCGTCAGGCCATTTCCCACTAAGTGATTTATCGGAATCTTTGCTTTTTCTTTCCTGGAGTTTTGCTCTTATTAATAGCCTTTCCTATTTAAAAAAAAATACAAAATTATTAAGTACAATAATAAGCCCAATTGATTTTTCTATCCAGGCTTTTGCTACTTCGGGTCTTTTCACAGAAATTAAGAAATATTCAATATTAGTCCCCGCTCTTCAATCTCAGTGGTTAATAATGCACGTAAGTATGATGATAGTGGGTTACGCAGCTCTTATATGTGGCTCCTTATTATCAGTAGCACTTATGGTCATTACCTTTAGAAAAAATGAAAATATTTTTCAAATGAATTATATTTTTTCGGCTAACAATTTTTATAAGATTCAATTAAGTAAAGAATTAGATTATTGGAGTTATCGAGTTATTAGTTTAGGGTTTATCTTTTTAACCATAGGAATACTTTCGGGGGCTTTGTGGGCGAACGAAGCGTGGGGATCTTATTGGAGTTGGGATCCAAAAGAGACTTGGGCTTTTATTACTTGGATAGTGTTTTCAATTTATTTACATACTCGAAGAAATAGAACTTTTGAAGGTGCTACTTCGGCAATTGTGGCATCTATAGGTTTTCTTATTATTTGGATATGCTATTTTGGAGTCAATTTAATTGGATTAGGTCTACATACTTATGGTTCATTTTCGCGAACATAAAAAAGATTTTATTCTTTAATATTTGAATCTTTGGAATAAATAAAAAAAAAAGACATTAATTTTTTACTTCGTGAAAAGCTAAAAATTTATGAAACCCGTGCTACAAAATATGAAATATTTTTATTTTAGAGCACGGGTTTTCAATAAAAATAGAATGAATTCAAATATACTTTTCTGGACCAGATCAATAAGCGAGACCCATACTGCGAGTTGTTTCATGCCATAAATAAACTCGAACACTCAAGAAATCTGTTGGGCAAGCGGATTCACACCTCTTACAGCCTACGCAATCTTCTGTTCTCGGAGCAGAAGCAATTTGTTTAGCCTTACATCCGTCCCATGGTATCATTTCTAAAACATCGGTGGGGCAGGCTCGAACACATTGAGTACATCCTATACATGTATCATAAATCTTTACAGAATGTGCCATTGAACGAATAAATTTATAAATTTTATGAATTATCGATATAGTATCCTCCAAATATTATTTTTATGCAATATAAAATTAGAAGATACTTGGTTTTTAGATACTATATGACTCAATGAATTTTCAGAAGAATTCTAATCACTAGATTTCTGGATTGGTTTTAAAAATAAAAAAAAAATTATTTTATGTTTTTTGGTAAATTATTATCAATTTTTATGTTTTAATATTATCATTTTTTTTATAACTACGCAAACTACCTAATAGGGTAAAAAAGGATTCTTTTTTGAATTAACTAAATCTGCCGTTTTAAAGTTTTAAATAAAAAATCCCTTCAAATTTATACAGTAAGAATCAATAGACAAAAGGACATGATGTCTTTCTATTCACTACCCTGAGCTATTCTTTTGTAATTGTTTCAGTACCCAGACTGTAGTTCTAAAATTTACGTATAAAATAGGTTCTAAAAGCTATACAACTTCAAAATGAATGAGTTTTTGTCTCTCTAATCTCCAATTTATCAATTAATTCTTTATAGCGCAATGTATTTTTTTTTGATAAATAAGCTAAAAGTCGTTGTCGTTTCCCCAAAATTTTACGTAAACCTTTTTGAGATAAATAGTCTTTTTTATGCAATTTCAAGTGGGAAGTAAGCCGGTGTATTCTATTGGTGAAATTCCATATTTGAAATTCAACGGAACCTCTGTTTTGTTGGTTTTGGTTTTTATAAATAGTCGAAAGAGATAAGTTTTTTATCATAAACTAAATGAACTCCCTTCATTGATATATAATATGCATTTAAAATAATTTTTTATAATTAAGTTATAGATTTATTTCATAGATATGAAATAATTGATTAGTAACTAAAACGAACTAACGAAAAATAAAGAAAGAAAATGATAAGAAAAAAGAAGAAATATTATACAAGAAATCAACTTGACAGAAATGAATCCAATGTTTTTTTATTTTTTTTGTAAAAAAAACTTGTAAACTTACCCGTTAAAAGAGATTTTGCTAATGAAAGAGCTTTTAATCTTACCTCAATAGTCTTTCTTTTCCAAATGTTCTTACGAATACGCTTTTTGGCTTTCGAAATACGTTTTTTTGGAACTGCCATTTAAAATGATTTACAGGTTATCACTGGATGTGAAAGACATTTATTGCTAAAAAAGAATTCTTCTAACTAAGTCTATCAATTCAAATCAAAAGAAAACCCTCTCTTTTCGGGTTCATTAATAAAATAAAAGTGAATTATTTCAACTTAATATTCTTTGGATGAGGGAGAAAGTATCTATATAGATCTAAATAAATATATGGTATCCTCGATTCAGTTAGATACAAATTAAAATAAGGTATATTTCCATTCATTGCTTTTCATCTAACCTGGTACCATCTACCCTGCTAGAGGGTAGATAGTACTACTATCAATTAAATTTCCACCAATTAAATTTCAATGGTAAATACATATGGATCCTTAACATACTGAAACGACTCCCATTATTAGTATTAAACCAATAACGATTCATACAAGCTAAATCTTCCAATCGATAATTAGGCCAAAGAAAAAATTCAATCAATTTATTCGGATCCTTATGCCGAGGGTTACTTTCCTCCCAAACTTGATTTTTGTTGGAAACTAGAGAATTTGCATCCACGCCATTCCATTTGTTTGAATTGAAACAAATTAGAGTTCTTAATTCTCTACGACGCCTAGATGATAAAATATTTTCAATAAGAAGCGGATCACAATTATTGTTCTCTTCAGCGCGAATTATTCGTTGTTTTACGTATTTTTGATTAAGAATTTCTTTACTCTTATGAACCAATGAAAGAACTATGGTTTGATACATAAGAAATTCTCCGTTTGGTTTGATAGACAGCGGAAGGGGGTCAACCAAAAATCCCGTCCTTTTTAAAAATTCTGGAACACTCTCTTTTGAATCCGCAACACTCTGTTTTGAATCTCGAACATTTCTTTTTGAATTTTTTGAATCTGGAACACTCTGTTTTGAATCTGGAACACTCTGTTTTGAATCTGGAACATTTCTTTTTGAATTTTTTGAATCTTGAATACTCTCTTCCTGATTCATCTGTGGCATTAGACCCAAATTTAACTTTTCCCTTTGAATCCATGATAGCATCATTTTTTTTCGATTTAGCATTCTAAGCAAGAGACAATAGATCTGGAGATCTTGGAAAAGGCCTTGATTAAAAGTAACATCCTCATCCTCTCTAAATTGAAAAAATAAATAATTTTTCAGGAATAACTCTAGTTCTATCTCAGTTTGACTTTTCTTTTCACCTTCAGTTTCCCCTTCAGTTTCCCCCTGGGTTTCCCCTTCAGTTTCACCTTTGGTTTCACCTTCAGTTTTCCCTTTGGTTTCACCTTTGGTTTCACCTTTGGTTTCACCTTTGGTTTCACCTTTAGTTTCCCCTTTGGTTTGACCCTCGGCTTTATCTTTTTTTTTACTCTCAGTTTTACCTTTGGTTTCACCCTCAGTTTTCTTTTTATCCTTTTTATCTTTGTTTTTATTCTTAATTTTACCGATCTTTTGATTCGTCATTTCATCATTGAGATTCAAATTAGAAATAAGTGATTGGCTTGGTATAATCCATGGTTTCATTTTATATATATTAACAAACCACAGAAATTCTGGGAAGACCGAAAGTTCCTCAGCCGTTAATGGACGGTCGAGTATTGCTTCATTCAGTCCCATCCAATCCAATAAAGAATTTTTAGAATTTACTAGATTCCTTTCTTCGGTATTTGTCTGAATCAAAAGAGCAAAAGGATCTTTTTCATTTTTAAAAATTTGCTCAATTTTCACAATCTCTTCCATTCTATCAATTAATTGATAATTATAAGTGAAAATTGGAGTACTTTGAGTATTGTTATCATTACCCGTGATCCAGGACTCAATATCCGCTTTTTTATCAAGAGAAAAATTAATCTTTTTCAAATTTAAATATTTTCTCTCTAAATTTTTGTCTGTATAGGGGATATTGACCCTTTCTATTTTTTCTCTGAAACTAGTGATAGGAAGATTTTTCGTTATCGCAAACAAGTTGTTTTGTGACATCTTGTAATGATAAGAAATCGTTTCCCCGTTTAGCTCCTGGAGGGGGTCCACTATTTTTTTCATACTGAATGTATTGATATGCTAAAAGATCATATTGACAGCATTTTTTAAAATTATCTTTTTTTTTTTTATTAAATACTGAGTTAGCATCCTTTTGTTTCCTGTAATTATTTAATTTTAATTTTCTACTGGAATTCCTTTTGTGTAAATCTTTTTGTTTAGACCTACGATAGCGATTCGCCCTATTTCTCCATTTTTGTTTTTGTGATCTTAAGGCAGACCAGAAATTAGGAGATAAATCGTATTGAGAATTCCCTCTTAACCAAAATTTCCATTGACTCGTTCTAGACCGCTTAAGTTCTTTTTTTATTCCTTCAGATTGAAGTATTCCTTGTTTATGAAATGAGTCTTTTATTTTTTTTTTTAATAAAGAAATTCTTTTCAATCAAGAAAGATGTTCCATTTTGTTGAAGAACAGACATCAAATTAGATACGTTCAAAAAACTCCTTTGTGATATTTTGTACAATACATATGCTTGTGACAAGTTAGATAAATCACCAAAATTCTCTGGCTTTTCCTTATAACGCTTATTATTATGCGTTTTTATATTTGAAAGAGAGTTCATTTTTGTTGATTCCACAAAGAGTTTTTCAGTCATTTGGCAAATAGATATAGTATATAAAAAAATATAGTTAGATATTCTTTGAATCAATAATTTTATAAAATAATGAAATTTATATCTTAATCTATTTTTTTTTTATTTTTAACATTTGACAAAAATTTTTTGACAAGGCTAATCTCGAACTTTTTTTGTAAGGGCTCATATCTAGTTCTAGAGTCAGCCTTTTCTTATCTTCCGTAATTCTTTCTAGTTTTTTTTTAATTGTATTTGTCCTATGAGTAATAGCCTGTATTTTGTCTATCGGTGAATAATTTTTCCAATCTGTAATTTTTTCAATTTTACTCAAGGGTTGATTCATTATCTGGTTATTTATTTGATCATCTTTTTCTTTTTTTATTAAACTCGGGTGTATTGTTCTTTTTTCGTTTGAACTTGTTTTTTTTTTTGAAAACTTTTTTAAAAATTTGATTTTTACTTTTACAAATTTGTAAAGTTCCTTAAAAACAGGCTCGAAAAACGAAGGTGTTTGTCGTGGATGACCAAAAGGGTGTTCTGTTTCCCTTCCCCAAACTGTTAAAAAACAAAAGTCATCACGAGAAGTTAGTGATTTATATTCGTGCCAAGGTTTTAGACAGAAAGGAAATAAAATTTTGATTTGAATACCTTCTGTCAACCAATTTTCCGGAAATTTTTTGTCAGCTAACGGAATACCATTATAAGTACACTTCACATGCGTTTCTTTATTCCATCCCTTTAAATCTTCAGACCATTCAGGAGTTTGAAATAGTAGCATACGCCCTATATTTTTCCCGATTATGAATGAAGGTAATAGAATTTTTTTTCTCAGAATTGATTGGGTTATTAATAACAAACCTCTTATTATTTGGGTATATGGGA